AAAAATGCCAACAGCGACGAAGTATCTATGTATATGTATGTACGACGAAAGCAACAATTGCGTGCGAAAATAGCGGCCACAGCGACACTTATTTCTACTTGCACCCACCCCAACATTTGCAGCCATATGCATTCATACTTACATACATACATATATACTTATGTTCCTCATACATATAGACGCCATCTTATATTTATTGTCTTTTGAAAGGTGAACTTGTACCGGCAGCACCTCCCAACGCACTAGCGCTAACAGTTTAAGCTCAGGTGGAGTGAAGCGGATGGTATGCTGAATAAATGACTCTAGTAAATGAGATTGGATATTAAAATGGGAGAATAACAAATTAGAAAACTTGCAAATAAATTTTGAAAAAGTTTAAGCTTAACTGCGCAAACAACAACAACAACAACAACTCGAAGGTGCCAGAAAACACGCCCCGCCAGTAGATGAATTGACACAAGGAAGCACTCCGCCAGCGCCCATACAAAATCAGCATCAGTGTGATACGTTGGAATTTGTGCGAGGGAAAAAGGGAGACGGCAGGAAAATATATAAACTTATGTAGAAGTGATGTTTTGGAATTGTCTGAAGTGAACAGAAGTTTTGGAATGGTAGGCGGGGAACTTTGTATTATTGCCGGTTGAACGCAATCGTCAAACACAATCGCTGTTGTAAATGAGTCGAAAATTGTGTTATAAAGTGTGCAACAGGGCGCCGTTTACTTCTTAAGTGTTAATTTCTTTTCATTTAAATTTTTCCTGCACTTCGCACTAATTACTTACAATGTCTGCCATTCCTCGGCGAGGGCAAACAGAGCGATTAGAAAAGAACTTGCTTATTTCTTTTTCCGGTCGGAAATTATAATCAATTTTACACATACGCTGTGCAGAATTCTGATTCCTTATTGCCAGGGGAACATAAATATTATTTTAATTTAGAGTAAACACAATTTTTCATTGTACTAGAAGTACAACGTTATGCACCCTGTGTTGGCGTAACGAACTTATAGATTTGAGTAGACCTGCTGATTATAATAGAATGCCCACGCACTCAGATACCGCTCTTCACTCACATTTGTTAGTTAGAAACAGGGTTTGAAAAACTGTCAGCCCAGCAGCAACAGCACTACTATTTTTGCTTTTTCTTCGCTTTGAAATTTTTGATTTTCATTCAAACTGATTTGCTTTCGCTGTGACTTTGAAAGTTTTATTTTGCTTTTTTGTCGGCAGTTTATTGAAAACAATTTAGTAAATTGAAGTTACTGCTTTTGATTTGCTGTGATAGCACTTTTCTTGTGCTGAGATTTGCTTGAATATCCTGTGCACATGAAGCTTTGCAGCATGGTGTATTATCGCTGACTCGCCAGGAGTGAGTACACACAAATATTGCAGTATCAATTCCTTTGCCTTGACCTTTCGCTAGCGATTATCTGGTGTGAAATTGGCGATTACCAATCGCTAGCGAATTGCCTAGCAATCGGTAATGCATCGTCGTAGTTGGCTTATGGTCGTCTCTTGTCACCAGAACAACTAAAGGGTAGTGCATTTGTGCATGCATACATATTTCTGCCAATTTGATGTTTCACGATCAAGTGATAGTCGAATTGCTGTTACTTTGCTGCCGCTGCGCTGTCGTTGTGCTTTCACATATTGTTTTTTTAACTGTCTGGTTGCTTTCGAAATTTTACAGCAAAACGACAGCCAAAGCACTTGCTTTTTTCCGAATTGCTGTTGCTTTGCTTTCGATATCATACATGCCGAAGTCAAAGCACAGCAAAAGTAAATCAAATGAAAAAATTACAGCATTTTCAAACCCTGGTTAGAAAAATAATATGTATGACAGGAGAAACGATAGGGGAGGCATGGTTTAACATGGATTTCTATTTTTCAGTATTCACTTATTTATTAATCAACCTGTAGCTGATATATTATCTACCCAGGCCAACAAAATTTCCAAAATTTTTGCGGCGCGGGAAGTGAACCCTGGATTCTTATTGGATTTTTTCGTAGAATCAGAATATGAAATATTAGATTGGCACCAGTTTTTGAGATATTTTGGCTTCAAAGTGTCAAAATAAACTTTTTTTTTGACATTTTTTAGACATCTATAAAGGAATAATGGGGTTTGGTAGAATCTTTTGAAAAATGTGTAAAAAAATCTAAACATTGCTCTTTTAGAACAAAAGCTAAAAATTTAGCTTCTATAAACATAAGTTACAAAAACAAGTTGAAAAAAATACGCAACGGGTTCAAACATTTAAGTTTTAATGTTATTTTAGTTCTCTTTCATTTGATAATAAACTTGTTTAATTTTGGTAATCGGTTTGTTTATTATTAGGAAAGCACTTTTATTTCGGCCATAAAAATATTTGGCCAACCTTAACTGTTAAAAAAAACATAACTGTTGTTTTCGGTCCCTGATTTTAATATTTTTAAAGTAGAAATTTAAATCAAATGTCTTAAAAACAAGAGCCGATCTGAAATTTCTAAGGTCAGATTCCGATTCTGCCTACAAAAATCTATAGGAATCAGCTCTTATAGACTATGACGCAAAAAATTTTGTTGCACAAAAATTAGCCTCCTAGGTAGCATTATAATGTCACGTAGCTCTTGCTTTTCAGATTGAATATGAACCATGCAACTACCCAATTCGGGTGGCTGCGGTTTTTGTCTAACGAAGTTAAGGTGTATAGAAGCTTCTGTAAAATTGCACTAGCTATTTTTTCAGGCGGGAGTGCCGAAAGCCACTGCACAAATTGTAGACCCACCTCAAGTAATCCACAAATATTTTGCTTAGTCACGGAGGTTTGTAAAGAGTATATCGCAAGTCGTTTCTGTTCTGTGTCAACTGATGCCGATTATAAATTTCTCAGCCGGCTCAGGTTCGACTTCTCCAAAAGTTTCACTAGTTCGCCTGGTTGCTCTTAATTTGCACTGGTATTGAAACCTTCCGTAAATCGCCTAAAGGTCTGATAATGCATACTTCGCACAACTATTTGTACCAGTGCAATAAATATGTAACTTAAGAAAATGTGAAGCAAAACCTCAACTCAACACATCGCTAAGTTTTTAAAAGTTTTGCTAATTTCCGGGCAATGGAATACATACAAAATACATAGAAAGTACATACGAAATTACAATTTGGAGTTTATGCGAAGTTTTGCGAAGTGATGCGAAGTATGCATAATCAGACCATAAATCTCTTGATAACTTACGAGCATTTTTCCTGTCGGCCAGCATTTCAAGCTCTGCGCACTCACGTACTTCGGTTGCTCTCTTCTTATTGCTTCAAATAGGTCGCGCTCACCTCTTCAGTTCCGTATAGCGGTCCCACATATCGCGTGTTGCGTCCGGGCGCCCTATTTGACTATCTCGGCTGCAAGAAGATAGTTGTCCGGGTCGATGTTTGGGTCTCGGAGAGTACGTACGTTTTAAATACTGGCAACGTGTCATCCGTCTATCACAACATAATCAATTTGGTTTCTCGTTTTTCGAACCCAAAAACCCACCTGATCTTTGTCATTGTGTTGACAATAAGTGAAAAGTTAATCTTCCCTCTGCATAAATGGATGAGATAACAAAAAGTCTTCAATCTGAACAATCAGTTGTATGGGAGCTATATGTTATAGTTGTCCGATTTTGCCCACTTACCAAATTTGAGTTGGATATCTGTAAAACTGAGGGACTAGATTGCATTCAAACAAGCGGAGCGACGGACATGGCTAAATCGACACAGCCCGACGTTGGCTGAAATGTATTTACTATAGTAAATGAGAGTGTAATAAAATTCGTAGTGAGTACTGAGCTGAGGAGGCGCCCAGCATCGAAAGAAGTACACCAACATGCATACAGAAACATGTACCTATGTATGTGAAAATGTTTGTACCCACATTCATAAGGAAAGAAAAAAACAAGGACTAGAACCACATCACTTGAAAAAATGAAAATATATATTAGAAGTGCCACAACAGCGAAATTATTTTGCAACAACTCGAACTACAAATAAATATTATGCAAGTAAAAAATACAAATCTTTGCGCTATTTGCAACATACCACAGAGCAGAAACAGAATATGCACATCAAAGCATAACAGAAATATACATATAATAACAACAATAATAACAATGACAATAACGAAAAGTTGGGAAACTACTAGCAGAAGAGTGGCAATAAAAGTAGTAAAGCGCAGTGAAAGCAAGGAAGAAGAAGTGTGGGATGAGGAAGAAATGTTGGTAGCAGCAAAAGTGGCAGCAGCACTGGGAATCAAAGCCAAAAACAATTGCCACAATTGCAATAGAATCGTCGTTAATTACGCTGGTCTGGTTGCTGGATGAAACTTGACGAAGTGCTGGGGCACAACGGCGGGGGTAAGCTGAAGCTAAACTAAAGTGTTTGGTGCGCATTAGTGGCAGCGAAATGGAGAGACACAAGCTGTCGGGGCACAGGAGCTAGAACAGCAAACCAGCATACTCAATGTACGAGCACTAGATGCGAATACCTGTATACACATACTTATAGATATACATATAGTATATACATACTTATAGATATATAAATGTGGCACGTATAGTCCTTAAACGTACATACATACTTATACATATACGTAAATGAGATAGTCACTTTGCGGCTACAGAGGTAGACGGGGATCGCCCTCTAATATCCAGATTATGCTGAAAATGCCAAGCGGTTGAGGTTAGCGAGGGAGGGAGGCATGCAAGCAGATCACTGCCAAGCTTTGGGTAACGTGCGTCGAGCCCGACGATGCAGAAGAAACAACAAAGTACAATATAATACAAAAAAAAATCAAAGAAGATATCAAGAGTAGTAAGCAACAAGGCTACAAAGTAAGTAAGGCAAACGCGCTGTGAAAACGTACTTGTTCTTTGAGGCAACAACGTCGGCAAAAAGCAAACGTGAAAGAGTTACCAACTCAATTTTATCTATTTTACATGCAACACTTCCATTGAGAATGCCCATTAATAGCGCGATTTATTGTAATATCGAGAAAGCAAGCATTTGAGAGATTGTCAAATTATTTAGTACATTGACTTTGTACGGAATACTAAGAGTGCAAGGGAATATACATATGCATACATTTAGTTTTTTGCAAATCCACTAGAGGCGCTTGCTTCCTGGATTCGCGATGATATTTTGGACGATACCTTTTTCATATAAACTTTTCAGCCAGTGGGTTTAAGTTGCATTGTATGGCGCTCTTTTAGCACTTGCCTGCATTAGGGAATAACCGAGGTCCGCCAACTGTATTTTAAAAACCACTGTGATTGGCTCGGTAAGCAGGTAGGTTAACGAACAAGAAGAAACACTTAGAACGAGTTAATAAAGGGACACGAAACGAATTTACTGAGCAAAATATAAAACTAGGCTGTTGGCCCCTCAACATGGATCGCTTCCCACGATAAGTCCTGCTTTTGAAGGGTGTCTTTGCAACACGAAAAATGTTTTTCTCAGTGAGCTCGACTCATCGGCAAAAACTAATGGAGCAGCGAACTTATCCAAGCGCCCTCCCCAGTCAGTGTTCCGCCACTTGAGATCTCAGCACTGAGGAAAAACAGCAAGAGGCTTTTCAATTAAGCCAAGCGAATAGGTTTTTGACAACGCTATAAGAATGCACTAACATTTTCCAAGAGGGCGAAACGCGAATTTTGGCAAAACTTCTGCAAAAACATAGAAGGATTCTAGCGGGGCGACTGGACGTTATCATGCATCGATATGCTGGAGATCCATGTGAGCATTCACTTTCCGGGCTTCTCCACATAGAAGGGAAATCCACATCGTCTCATCGCTCACAACTGCGCTTTAAAATAAAACAAGTAAGAAAGTCTAAATTCGGGTGGAGCCGAACATTAAATACCCGGCGCAAGTATTAAATATATCGTCGTTTAAAGTGCAAAACCGCGTATCAACAAAATGCAAAACCGTGTATCAGCAAAATGCAAAACCGCGTATGTGAAGTTGAAGAAATTATTTTCTAGAGCGTAAAAACACTTATATTTCAAAATGGTTCTCTTTTTTATAAAGCATTCGCATTTCTGGCTAGAATATTTCAGGACGAATGGATAAGGATTGAGCCAAGAGCTTGTGTGAGCAAATCCAATTTTTGGCAGCAAATGTCAGTTACGCGGATTTGCAGAATGACGATACGCGGCCGTAATTTTAGTCCGATTTCAATAATTTTCAACGCTTTGCTTTTATGTGGCAAACACAACAAAAATACTGAGTTTGGTACAAATTGTTAGAACGGTTACCGATATACACATATGTAGTCATAAGTGGGCGGTGCCACGCCCATTTTCCAAAATTTTACCATAAACGTATTTCTTGGTAAAGAATTGTTGCGAGCATCAATTTTGAATAAGTTACCTTTTATATTTTCTGATTTATAGAAGATTTTGTATTTCTCTAAATTACCGTTATATGGGATGTGGGCGTGGTTATTCTCCCAGTTTTTAAATTTTCGGCCATTTAGTATGCTGTACCAGGGCCAACAGCTAAGTTTGGAAGAAATGGGTGCAGCGGTTACCAAGATATACACATGTAACCATAAGCGGGCGTGGCTACGCCCATTTTCCAAAAATTTATAATATTCTTATTTTTCATCTAAAAATTGTTGTAAATATCAATTTTGAGTGAATTATATTCAGCAGTTACTAAAATATCGCAGTTTTCGTATTTCTGGAAATTACCGTTATATGGGAAGTGGGTGTGATTACAGTCCGATTTCGCCCATTTTCAGTACCAACCTACCTTGGATTAACAGAAACCTACGTATCAAATTTCGTTTAGATATCTCAATTTTTGCTCGAGTTATCGTGTACACGGACGGACGGACAGACGGACGGACAGACGGATAGACTGACAGACGGACAGACATGGCTTAATCGATTTCTATATTCATTCTGATCATTTATGTATACATTTGTCTATATCTATCTCGATTCGTTTTGGCTGTTACAAACAACCGTTATGTGAACACAATTAATATACCCTTGGGCACAAGTGCGCTCGGGTATAAAAAGTCTTCTGAGCCAAAGGATGTCGGCTACTCTTCTCATTCTTTTTTGCGGCTGTAGGCGCCTAAGCGGATTTGGCGGAGTGCAAAAAAGCATTCCTGTCATGTCACTTCTATGCCAACTGAAGGCAATTGGAAATAAGAAGTGAAGCCAAGTACTTCTCCACCTGGCCTTTCCAATGCTGATGAGGTCTTCCTCATCCTCTTCTACCAGTATCGCGTTGAATACTTCCAGAGGTGCAGCGTTTCTATCCATCCGTAGGACATGATTAAGCCAGGGTAGCCACTCTATTTCAATTTGCTGCATTTCTTCCACGACGTTGTAAAGGTCATAGAGCTCATCGTTCAAACGCCTGCGGAATTCACTATCGACAACGCGAAAAGGCCCATAAATCTTACGCAGAATCTTTTTCTCCAAAATTCCAAGAGCCGCCTTATCAGATTTTTTTATTGTCCATGTTTCCGCGCCATATACCGGCTACTCCCCAGTACGAAATCACTGAACCATAGGAGCTGGCAGTATATTTCATGGACAGCTGAATGACGTGGCAGTACGGTTAAGTTAAGTTAACCTGTACTCAGGATGATTTGTGCAGGAGAGGGGTTTTATGACGCCGGTATAGCACTTAAAACGAGGTGTGAGCTGTGATGCGGTGCAATGACATACAGAGAGGCCGAAAGGGACCGCTACTTCCTCCACAACGAGGCTGGTAAGGCAGCTTACTACCTAAACCAATCCGAAGAGCCAGCAGCTTTTCATCCGATAGAAACCTTACCCGGCAACCGCTCTTACTCGACGCATGGAACGGCTAGTAGTTACAAGCTTAAAGGCATCACAAGGCAAGGAATAATCAGAAGAAAATAGCGAACAATACAGAAATAGCTTAGGCCGTCCGAATGATGATTTTGCAGGTCACCATAATGGAAAGGGTGGATATGGGCACTGGTTTTGAACGGGGTTTAATTATTATTAGACGAAAAATTACTCGAAAGGTCATTTAGTTTTTAAGGTGCTCATGCGAGCAAAATGAAATGAACTCGAATTATATTTGTTGGCAACCCTGTAATAGAGACGCGATTTATTTGTATGAAGGGAGAATTGGCTTGGCTGTTGGCGAGATGGGAGACTCATTAAAATGCAGTGCGAGATAATAAGCGTTTTAATTAAATATTTAACAAGAATAAGTTTATCACAACAAGAACAATAAAAGCAACAACAGGCAGAGTAACACAATGCAAAGGAAAGTTAAGTAAAAATGTTCGAGGCGCTACTGCTTGTAGCTTTGGCTCTTGGCTCTTGGCTTGCGACCATGGTGGCTGCTTTTGAGTAGAGTTACTTTGATTGTTGTTGGTTACTCGTACATACATGTCGGTGTCGAGGCATGCGGCATTTAAGTGGATGTGTTGATGCATGCATGAGCAAGTGAATTTGCAGAAAATGTCTGTGCATCAGGATATTCAGATACAAGCCATACCCAAAGGAGTTAGTTGCATAACACATGCACGCATGTGTATGCAAACAAACTCGTGCATACTTAAGCATAGCAATATTTTTGTATACACATATATCTCCAACATTGCGTATGGTTGTTCATCGACGCCTTTTTGACCAAGTGGCATGCTGCTTGGTGGCTGAAGCTCGTGGCGCATGGCTCGTGGCAAGCGAGCTACCCATAGTTGATGCAAAATATATTGTTGTTGGTGTTATAAAAGAATTTTTGTCATTTTGAGAATTTTTGCCGACATACATACATACATATATTCAAATAAGCGTGTGTTCGTGCGAGAGTATTTCTGAGAGTGTCATTAAGAAAATGAAGCTTACGACAGCCAACCAACCAGGCATCCGACCAGACAACCAGCAGCAGCAACAAACCCGCCACAGTTGCATTTGTGGTATTAAAATTCTGAAGAAACCACTTACGCACAACAGCATAGTTTGTAGTCGAGTTGTTTTAGCTGAATTTAAATGTTTCTAAAAGCATCGTAAGTTAGTTGATTGAATTTTAATTAAAGCTGCTTTTAAAATTCAGGGCATTCCAGCGCTGGCTGCTAAGAAAATTTTCAATGATAAAATTCTTTCAAACATTTTAAAAGTAAAGCAAAAAAATATAAGGAAATGCTGAAATAATGAAGTAGCTTAAAATATCGCCACAAAAGAAATGTTTTTTGCTGGCATCGTCGCTGCTGACGTTGCC